TAGTGCCCCTCAGATTTTTGATTGATTGATTTTGATTTGATTTTTGATTCAAAGCTCTGAGTGGCACTGTAACTGTTATGGACAGACGTGTAGCTTTCCATCAGGCGCACGACTTGTTCGTCCCGTCACTTGATATTATAAAAAAAAATGTCCATGTAATAGGAATTGAAAATGAGTTTGACTTGATTCTTCAGTCAATCAAAAGTTATCTCACCTTTCCGAGTTACTGGGATCAGTAAACCCATCAACAGTAATTGACGGCTGCGAAGCATGGAAGGTCTCTCCAACACGTGTGTTCAGCTCGTAATAGCTGATGCTGCACCAGAATGCTGGCTCGTGGTAGAGTACTGGAGCTGCTTCGGTGGTGAGGCCAGGAGGTGATGGGGTGAGACGCGTAAGGTCTAAAACAAAGATATACAATACGTATTAAAGGCAATTTAACTCTTTTAAAAATAAGATAATTTTTTTAGCACACATTTATTTCACTTTTGACAGCTCGAATTCTAATCAATAATTAGTGATGTCGTAATGCGTTTCCAATTCGATTTTTTACAACAAATGATTTTATTTACGAAGAAGTTATGTGAGCGGGTTCAGAAAAGAAGACATTGTTTGATTGGGATCGTGTTGTTGCATTTTTCAATTTGTGTACACAAGAATTAATAATTAATGTTACTAAGGACTCAAGTGATGAGTCCCGTTCACGTGGAGAAGAATCCGACTATTCATTATAATAAACAATAAGAATTTATTATAATTTATTTAATTTCATTATAATTCATGACAGGTACCAACATTTATCAACTTCAATACATAATCTGTTGGCTCGATAAATATTGGAGCTAAAGGGAACGTTTCTTCACTAAAATTTAAAGTCGCTTCACTAAAATTTTAAAAAAAAGAGTCCAGAAAGTATTGCATTTTTTTGTTGACGGTTGTATGTTAATAATTAAGGAACTTCGGAGACGTGCATATCTCCGAAGTTAAATAAATGGTTGGACTGAGTATAGTGAATAAATTGTTGGAAGAAGGAAAATAAGTCACAGAAGAAAAGTGTGACTTGATAAGATTGAAGAATGAAGACAGGAGTTGTGAGCTCAGGCAGCTTATACTACACCTCGAACAAGACCGAGAGCCATTGGTGGCCAACCATTAGAAAGGTTGAAGAAGAAACTAATAGAAGAAGTAATAAATAAATATTGAACATTTTTAAACTGCCTTTAGGCATGAGAGAGGCGAAAATAAAAAATAGACACCCAAAATAGTAACAAAAATATTTCTTTCTACAAATTTCGGTTTTTTTCCATTTGGTACTAATCTGTGAGAGACTGGAATCCAAAGTAGGTCAAAAGAGATCTGAATAGAAGCTTCCAGGTGCCCAACTCCAGTGAGATAATATGGATAATAGTGTAAGTGTGAGTTAGTTTTGACGTATGCACACTCTTAGCGCCCAGAAATTTTTAGGCGGCCGCCGCGTGGCGACCGAAGTTAGTGACAAATCTGAATTCTATTTACTAGACAACAACAGCCTCGCCCGCGCGACTAAATAAATAGAGCGTACTTTGCCATCGCGATAAAAATTCGTGTAGAATAAATGCGCCCGTATTCTCCTTCTATCCAGCCAGCTAACCAAGTAAGCCGAAAGAGAGCCCAAATACAGGCAAACAATTTAATAGAAACGGTTATTTAACCAGAAACACTGTTTTGACTGATAATTAGAAGAATTCGTAGTTCAAATGGCAGCACTACCAGACTTTTGACACACAATTTGCAGAATCAGTTATTTAAACGAAAACAATATTTAAAGTATAATTTGTAGATGTAATTTAAACAGCCACATTGTCAAAAATCAGGCAGATAATTAATAGAATTAGCAGTTTAATTTTCACAAATAAATAGCACAATCAGCAGTTTAAATGGCAACACTACCAGAATTTTGACAGATATTAACATAATCAGCAGTTTGAACGGCAACACTGCCAGAATTTTGACAGATATTAATAGAAATAGTGACTTAAATGAAAATAATATCAAAGTTTGAAATATAATTTTTAGAAGTTGTTCAAACGACCACATTGTCAAAAGTTTGAGATGCTATTTGTAAAAAAACTTAGTTAATTAACATCGTTAATAATAAATAAATAATAATAACGCACACACTCAACATAGCCCCGCACTAGAGAAACCCTGTATCGCGGGTGCCATGGATACATAGACAACCACAAATTACACCCAAACACACGAGAGAAAAAATTTATTATTTTTATTTTATTAATATTTCTCCCGGCTCGGTATTCGAACCTGGGACCTCTGCGTGCCAGTCCGGCATGGTAACCGTTCGGCCACTGAGGGAGTTGTTGTAATAATCAAAAATTTTATTCCGTCTTATAAGGTTCGCCTGAATCTTGTCACATAATCATAGTTGTCTATACATCTCGAAAGTCTATAACTATGAAAATAAAGTAAAAAAATTGTCAACAAACTCACTCATGTTGTCATTGTGGTCCATCGGATCCCCGTCCTCGCTCATGTAGCCTGGGGGCGGAGTCTCCACCGTTGACGAGCTCCTGTCAACAGGTGACTGTCAAATTAGTATAATAAAAATACGATCAGCACAATTTTGCAGATTTCAGGTTAAAATGGAGACTACAGAAGAACTGGGCACAAGCCTTGTTGTGGACCAATATCCGCCCATCTAAAGTATTTGTTGTTTTTCTAATTAGTCAATGGGAACCTTTATTTTAGCTATGGTAATTTTGTCTCTTCCTTCTCGTCATAGGGAAAATTGTAAGTACGCATTGACTTACAATTAATTATGGACGTCGGATCCGCGCTAAAAAGTGTCCGAACTTATAGGGCGTTAAAATCGTATACAGAGCGTCATTCACGCTTTAGTCTTCGTTTGTTCGACTGACAGCGAAGCAAGCAAAATTAGACAGTACTGCGATGACATTACAATTTAAATTCAACGTTTTAGCTTTTTCATATTCCTTTACATGTCACTACGTTTAAATAGGTTGACTTGGGACATTTTTTCGTGGTTTTTGTATTAGACCCGTCGTTCATATAATTGTAAGTCAATGTAAGTACGTATCAGTTTTGTAAAAGTAATAAATAAATGAAAATACATTATTAAGAAGAAAAGGTTTTATTTAAATTCATCGGTCACGTAAAGTCAAATCTATAACAAGCCTGGCCTAACAGGATTAGATAGGGTTAGGTTAGGTTTTACGGTGCGCACTATCGATCCCGGATCCCTCTTGTTTTGACCACCCGAGTAGGCCACTGGGGTTTTAGTCGGTACAGTATATCCTCTCTGTTACCCCCGCGGCCTAGAGTTATCGAAGATTTCCCCACAAAAAAGGTTAGGGTATACCCCAGAGGCATTGATATCAGAACATCTGAGCTGGAAAGACAGTCTTTCCCCAGTTTACCGAGCGAACCATTGTCTACTAAATTTCTGTCAAATTAAAGGAAATGTCGTTTTAACCAACCAAACAATTGACGATTGAGTATTTTTATACTTTCAAACGAAAGTGCAAGGAATGGCTTATTTTGCAACAGAACTTGTCATGTTCCTGGTCGGTTATGGAATAGTAATCCGTATAGTCTGATAACCGTTAATTTTTGGTTTTAACAGCTTTTCGCCATTGTCTACTTCGATTCTTCTCACGTCCGTTCCCGAATGTGCTCCTGTTACCTTGTTTTTGTCTATCATGGTTATATCGAGTTCTTATGTTTTCGCGATTGTTACACATAGGAAATGAAACTATTATTCCGGATTTAAATCGCGTATATTTGTTTTTCAAACAAACCAACATTTCGGGCCCTGTACAGGTCCCATGGCCCATGACGGTCTGTCAACCGTAACCATGGGACCTGTAAAGGGCCCGAAACGTTGGTTTGTTTGAAAAAACAAATATACGCGATTTAAATCCAGAAAAATAGTTTCATTTCCTATGTCTACCATGGTTATCAGATTTTGTTTGATTAAGTTTTTAACCTTGTTGTGTTTGTATTATCACAAACTTTTTCGAGTGTTAAGGTTTGGTCACAGAAATTAGCATTTAAATTAATATTTAAGTATCTATAGCACAAGCAAAATATTCTTCGTCTTTTAAATGTTATGGCCCCATCGAAGTAATCGATGATTTCGCGGATGTCAAGTTTAGGAACACACGCATTTTTACTCAAAAGGCAAATTTCGACAGAATTCACTGAGAGGAGAATCTACAAATCTATAGTCTGTTCCAATCCATTCTGAACAAAAAGTAAATAAACCTGTTTGGTTAAAATTCTAAAGCAATCACTCAATAAATCGAATAAGCAACTCTTTCACGTACATTTCGAAGATTTCGACTTGATATATCATCCCTTATTTTCCAACAATATTCATTTGAATAGCATCGTAAAATCGTATTTGAAAAATGGTAATTCAAAAGTGAGGTTATTATTCATCTATGCTTTTATGACTTGCTTATGGTTGCATAGTGCTGTTCGAAAAAAAACATTTGGTTCAATCAATTAAAGTTTAGTAATCGATTATCAAATAGAACATTTCAATCGCAATTCAATGAGTATCTAAGTGTAAGGATTTAAATTGAAATTTTGAATATGCTTATATAGGTTATGTAAGGAAAACCGCTAGTATGACTCAATTGAACAAATGGAATTAATTAATCGATTTGTAGTTGGCGTTACAATTGGCCATCACTAAGCCGTCTATGGTCGAGTCAGTGACTTGTTTGTTTACTTTTTGTACAAAATGGATCGAAACGAAGTATACAACGATAGAGAACCTAAGACGAAGACTATTACAGAAACAAATGATCCTTGGTGAAAATTTGTTTTGTAAGTCAGAGTACATAATAAGTACTAAGTAAGATGTATACTCACACGTGCACCGTCGTGTTGCCGGGCACATGCTGCGCCAAGGTGGCCTCGAGATACAAGGCCGAGTGTGCGCCCGCGCCTACGCCCACTCCCACGCCGCCCATCGAGTTCATGCTTTGCATTATACTGGAAATGTGAACATGATCACTGTAACAAATTGTTGGTGCTGTTTAAAAGATTCTCACAGTATTGAGTAGCAGTAGAACACCTTGTGAAACAGCTCGTCCAAGGAAACACAAAGTTTACTTATTTCTGCCGCCAAGTTTTGAAGGATAAGGTTGCTGGTGAAATTGCAGGCACACGAGACTTGTCAACTTATGAGTCGCAGAGGCAGTGTCCCTCAGGTCTTTGCAATTTATTTAAATCGATTTTTTTTTTCATTCGATACTACATCTCAAGAAACTTAAAATCTGAAATGTCACCGTACCCATGCTATGAGAATTAGACTATGGTTATAAATAACGTAAAACTGTGACATAGGTTTACTTTAACCATAATAATTTAGTAGCAGTAGAGAGTTCGTCTAAGGTAGTACTGCCACCTTACCTAATTCTGCCGCCAAGCAGTAATGTATGCATTACTGCATTCCGGTTTGGAAGAGTAAGGGTGCTGGTGAAATTACAGGCACATTTCTGTCTCAGGGTGACAGGCACATCGGCCTGTGCCCCTAACATCTTTGCGATTTAAAACTCTGAGTGACATTGCAACTGCTATGGACAGGCGTGTCGCTTACCACCAGACGCACGACTTGTTCGTCCCGTCATTTGGTATCATAAAAATAATACAAATAGTCCAACTTCCGCCCATTCGGCGCGTCAATGCCTACACGTCTTTTAGAGTAAGCGGTACAGGTAGATGTTTTAATACTCGCAATTACGAATAATTGGCAGTTGGCTGTAAGTTTTTCTTTTGCGTGTTTACACAGCACATTGTTAGTAGATAGATTCAAAAGTTTAGAGCAGCCATCGAGTATATAACCAGAAATAAGAGACGAAATGTCATTTAATTTGTTTCAAAACTATTCTGCCAAATCATTACGGTGACAACTGCGCTCCGATTTATCATCATCATCATCAACCCATTTATACGTCCCGCTGCTGGCCACGGGTCTCCTTTCAGACGAGGGTTTAGGCCACAGTCCGTCGCGCTGGCCCAATGCGGGTCGGGGACGTTTCTCGAGGGTTGTGAACCTTCTTCAACGTGCAGGTTTCATCACGATGTTTTCCTTCACCGAAAAGCTCATGCTAAATTTCAAATTACCATGAGCCCTCCGATTGGCCAGCCCGAATTCGAAACAATTGACGGGTGTTGTCAATTGTTTCACTTCAAATTTTTGAGCTTTGCTATAATGGACGAAAAATTGAAAAATTACATATTTAATTACCGATTAAATGTGGTTCCGTCTGTTTTGTAATTAGATATTTTGCTGTTTTTTCCCACATCACCGAATGGAATAGTAGCCATAGTTAGAGATATTATCTTTATTACAATAAATACAGAATATTTTTGGAATATACGGAGACGTGCACACAGGTCAGTTGTTAGCGCTGTACTATTTAAATTTTCTTATTTGTGATTTCAGTGCAAACGAGAGTTGATATTTAAAATGTATATAAGGCCCATTTATCTGACGAGTTGCCAGGGATGGCCCTTATTTCGTCTCTATTTCTGATTATGTATTCGATGACAGCAGCGAACAGTAATGTATTTTCATACCTACTTTGCAGGTCACGGCTGGGAATAAGTCGCAAGGTACATAAATGACAATCTCCCGGTGTTTGTTTTTTAAAAATATTGCAAACATTTCCGAGCATATTTGAGAAAAAGTAAATATTTGTATTGTATATTAGTGGCATAAGAAATGCAATGTTATGGTGGCATTTACATGGCTATTTGTATAAGCGTATTTGATGTATTTGGTAAACAATCACCATGTGTAGAAAGCATGTGTGACGAAGTATTTGCATTGTTTGCCTATTCGACAAATATAGTAAACACCAAACACGCGTTACCGTGCGCTGGTCGGTTCCTCGACCCACATCAAAGGAGTCAGTAAACCGTCCACACTATGGTTTTTTTCATTATTTTAACTCGTTATTTGGCTCGATCTATAGACGGTCATACTTTTCCAAATACAACAAATACCCAATATAAATAGCCATGTGAAGTGCCAGCATTACTTACGGATCGTGCTCGTGGTGTGCGATGTATTCGTAGGGTGGCGGCGCCCGGACTTCGCCCTCACCGCACCGCGGGACTAGGATCGGTGGCAGAGCTGACAAAAACATATTCAAACTCAAAATATCTTTGTCGTAAGGTTCCTGTGCGCGCACAGGTTATAGTGCCCTTCTCGTATACCCTAAGGGTCGGTAGGGAGGGTCACTACAATCGAAACTAACGTAGAAAGATAGTAGATAATGTAGATATCGATAAACTAGAAACAAAAATTGTGTTACATAATTTAAGTTTTAAAGTACAAGCTATGGAAACTCACTTGGAGAATCAATTTTGTGGTAATGATAAGGGTTGATGCAGACCTCGTCCTTCTTCAGTTGGTATGCGTACTCGCAGTGATCTACAGGCTTTAATTCGTGTTGACTCTGTAATAGAAAAAGTTTAAAAATGGGTTAATTTTTATACGGGTGTAATATTTTAAAAGAATACATATAAATAACCACAGAACAATAAAATACACAGTAGTATACTTCGTTTCAATCCATTTTGAATAAAAAGTCACTGATCCCACCATAGACGGTTTAGTGATGGCCAATTGTAACGCCAACTACACATAGATTAAATAATTTAATGAATCGATTTGTTAAATTGAGTCATACTAGCGGTTTTCCCTACATAACCTATATAAGCATATTTAAAATTTCAATTTAAATCCTCCTTCAAATCCTTACACTTAGATACTCGTTCGATTGCGATTGAAATGTTCGATGTAATAATCGATTACCAAACTCTAATTGATTGAACCAAATGTTTTTTTTCGAACAGCACTATGCAACCATAGGCAAGTCATAGAAGTATAGATGAATAATAATCTCACTTTTGGACTACCATTTTTCAAATACGATTTTACGATACTATTCAAATGAATATTGTTGGAAAAAGTGATGATATATCAAGTCGAAATCTTCAAAATATACGTGAAAGTGTTACTTATTCGATTTATTGAGTGATTGCATTGGAATTTTAACCAAACAGGTTTGTTTACTTTTTGTTCCAAATGGATTGGAACAGACTATAGTGGTTAGTTAGCGTAGCACGCGTGCCAACTACAGGCGAAATTCTGCCTAGTTGAGCTCAGTCTGCTCAGTCCTGCGCGCAAATTATTTAAAATCTTAGAAAAATGCCTTTTTCTGCTGTTTTGGAGTGCAAAAATTATATCCGCACCAAAAATATTACCCGTGGTGGTATTTCTTGGTCGATAAGTCTTATTTTAATAAATTTTAGATATTCTGTTTTTCGAATCGATTCTTTGTACTGTAACAAAAGAAAGTCAACATTACCCCAGTGCAAAATAGTTGAGTTTTATCTTTTGAAGAACTAAGTTTACTTATTCGAGATGTTTACATCTCGAATTTTCCACGCTAACGAATTTTTCACGCTACGCTAGCAGCGAACAAAAGTTTAGCAAAAAAATACTTTATGAGTGTTCTGTTAATTTTAAACTTAATTGATCGAAATAAAGTAATTATGCAATGTGTGCTTTAAAGAAGAAATCTCAAGTCGAGAAGATACTACTTTCTATTCGTTCAGATGTTAGTCGTTCGTTGTAGTCCAGCTACTGGCCGCAAGATGGCAGCACGTGGTATAAAATTTCAATGTAACACCATAACGTCGTAACTTGCAATAAAGGTATTGAACTTTTAAGGATATAGCGACTCGATAAAGTTTGAATTATATTAAAAATCCAGAATTTGTTACATATTTTTAAATTTTTTTTTTTTTTTTTTTAACAACAACGCACACACTCAACATAGCCCCGCACTAGGGAAACCCTGTGTCGCGGGTGCCATGGACACACATAGACAACCACAAATTACACCCAAACTCACGAGAGAAATAGATGTAGGTCATACAAATATTTCTCCCGGCCCGGGAATCGAACCTGGGACCTCTGCGTGGCAGTCCGGCATGGTAACCGTTCGGCCACGGAGGCAAATTAGAAGTTATGACAAATCATTGTCAAGATTTCATAGTGTTTATCATTTGTATGTAAGCGTTTTGGCAGCTGCGGTTCTGATTGCAATCGAGGTTGTAGGCACTTCCATTGTTTTTTGTTCCGTGTTAGTAGCTGTGTTCAGGCACTTAATTATTGTTATGCTTCCCTCAGAGGTTTATCTAAGGCCGGAATTGTCCAGTCCTGTTTAAGGATTGGTTGGGTTAATTGGGGGGAGAAATGGGATCTATACTCCGTCCAACCATTTAACGTTTGACAGCTCGAATTCTAATCAATTAGTGATGTCCTAATGCGTTTACGATTCAATTTTTTTTTATAACAATCGATTTTATTTATGAAGAAGTTTAAATTGTGAATGTGAGCGGGTTCAAAAAAAGGAGAAATTGTCTGATTGCGATAGTGATGTTGCGTTTGTGAATTTGTGTACTCAATAATTAATAATTAATTATAAACAGAATTCAAGTGATGGTTCCCGTTCATACGGAGAAGAAGAATCCGACGATTAATTATAATAAACAATAAAAAATTATTTCATATCATCATAATTTATTAGATACATAATCTGTTGGCTCGATAAATATCGGAGCTAAAGAGCACGTCGCTGCACTAAAATTAAAAAATAAGAGTCCAGGAAGTATTGTACTAAGTCAATAATTCAGAAGCATGCATATGTCATAAGCTAAATAAATGGTTAGACGGAGTATAATCCCATTAAAAGAAAGACTAAATACTAGAAACTATGGTCCGACACATAATTATTATAGAGATTATCTCTGGCCAAAAACACCCAGTTCTTTGAAAAGATTAGATGGGAACATAGGTTATGCACTCGTAGAAAAGACGACTCAAAATTACCAGTAGCTGCGGCCAGCGCCACAGCCTGCAGTAAACAACATGCGGCAAACCCTTGCGATACTGCCCGTTGACACCGTTATCATTTGGTTTCACTCTGCAACAAATGAACCTCTTTTACAAAAAGAATTAATTAAGGATGCTGCTGCAACCGTAGATAATTCGGTACACATCCAAATGTCGGATATACCATCTCGTCTCTCGTTCTCCGTCTGACGTATGGATGTACGTAACAATTACTGTCAAATAAGTTATACTCGACCAAATTATTTTAAGAAATTAAAGCATGCTCTGCGTATCCAATATAACAAGGCCTTCAGGTGCAGTTTCAACGCAGTATCACGCAAAAAAAAAACGAACTATCTTATAGACAGAGTGTGAGCCAGCAGTAACAGCATCTTGAAGATGATATCTAAGAAATTGATTGTCCGTTGATGTGGAAACTCGAAGGATGAAATCATTGTTAATTATTAAGTACTAATGTAGGCTAAGAGTTACTAACACAATAGTGGACCTATAAAGTTGTCTGAATTATAAATAAATAAAATAAAAAAGTATTTGAAAAAAAATATTTATTCTTTATTTTATCGTATAGTATACATGTTCTATTTAGTTAAGTTGATCTAAAAAAATTGGTTCAATTTGGTTGACATCAATGTCTAAATACAACGAGTTTTCTTGTAAAATTGCGAAGTAAGTTTGTTGTGATAATTTTTAGGGGTCATGTTTTCATACTAATCAGAGTATATCCTCAGCTTTGCAAAAATTTTTTTGTCCAAACTGATTGATTCGACATTTACACTGTTATGCGAAATGAACAAGCCTTTTGAGGTAGTGTAGACTATTTGCGCTCGTTTTTATTCACAACTAAAAGAAATCCTGTTTCAAAACATTATGTTAACTTGAAAAAAATATAAAATATTTTCAATTTGACTTTTATTATGAATTTTGAAAGTAGAGCAAATAATAATGAAATATGGCCATTCCAAAGTGACGGGTGGGACATTTTGGCTCCTTTTTTCTTGAGCTTTATGTAGTTTCTCCCTAACCATTGGTTAATTAGACTTAAAATGAAAATATCATGAAATCAGATATGCAATCCAACTGCGACTATTTATTTACATAAATTATTGACATTATTTATACCCAAAACTTTCACTTTTGTAAGTGTGTCCCACCTGTCACAAGATGGTGTCCCAATCGTCACACATCAAATGTTAAACTCCGAAATTAAAACAACTGTTACACCTAGTAAACATAGTAAAAACTCGAATCCATGAAAATACAAACATTTATTCAAAGTAAAACGTTCAGAAGTGTGTCCCACCCGTCACAGTGACAGGTGGGACACACTTTCAAAGCTTAATATTTACATTCCTATTTACGTGCACCAACTTGAAATTAGTATTCATTGAAACGTTAATAACTCCTCACCATATATACTTCCATGCAATCACTTATCACTGCTTTAAAATTCATAAATTGTATTTTCGTCGATAGTAATAACTTTTTTAGAAAGACGCACAAATAACCGCAAAAATTGTTGTTAACATTACAAGAAAAAATGCTTCACTATAGACATCGAGTATATAACCAGAAATAGAGACGAATTAAGGGCCATATATTCCTGGTAACACATTAGCGATACAGCTCTTATAAATATCAACTCTCGTTTGCGCTGAAATATAGACAGGTCACCTACTGACCTGTGTGTATGTCTCTGTATATTCCAAAAAATATTCTGTATTTATTGTAATAAAGATAATATCTCTAAAAATGCCGTGCTGGTCTATTCGGTGGTGTAGGAAAACAGCAAAACATCAAATTACAAAACAAACGGAATCACATTTCATCGGTAATTAAATATTAAATATGTAATTTTGCAGTTTCCGTCCATTATAACAAAGCTCAAGTTAACTGGTCGTATTGAAGTGAAACAGTTGACAACACCCATTGACGACACCCGTCAATTGTTTTGAACTCGGGCTAGCCAATCGGCGCGCAGTTGTCAAAGTAATGATACAAATTAAATGGCATTTCGTCTATATTTCTGGTTATATACTCGATGACTAAAGACGACAGCACTACGGCCGCGTTAATGAAGACAAAAAACACAATAATTGTACAATATCCGAAAAATCTAATTTATTTCTAATGATTTTATTTATTGAGCGTATTCTAGTCATACAATTAAAACCAAATTGTGAAATGTAGTTTTTTGGACCGCGGTGTCATTTTCGCTGGAAAGACCCAAACTGTTCTGACCAAAAAAAAAAACAAAAAAAATGACATGACATGAAATGTATAATCATTTTTTTTGTATCCTGACAAATCTCCTGTCAAGTCAATTTGGATAATGGAAAATATCCCACTGTCTGACCATCAATCTGACCAACGGGATACGCTCCTAGCAGGACTATATTACTAATATCATAAGCAAAAACTTTTAATGACTCTGTGCAGGACTAAACTAAACTAAAAAAATTATTTTTTGTAAATGTTTTGTTTAGTATACATTGAATATGGCTTTACATATTTCATCCCAACTTTTTTTTACAATATCAAGTGACGGGATGAACAAGTTGTGCGCCTAATGGTAAGCTACACGCCTGTCCATAACAGTTGCAGTGCCACTCAAAGCTTTAAATCGCAATGATCTGAAGGGCCACTGCCCCCATCACCCTGTCAGACATAAGTTGACAAGTCCCATGTGCCTGCAATTTCACCAGGCATAGTTCATGTTATTAAATCACTTGTTAAAGTCTTTTACATTTTTTATAAGGTCGGACCACCAATTACAGCTTAGTGAATCACACATGAATGTTACTTATTGCAGCAAATTAATTTATTGCTGGCTGTATGGCATGTATTGCGATACCACTGAAGAAAACTATTTTGACTTTTTTACTTTTTGACTCTGCAAAAGATGAGTGGCCCCTCTGGCCTCAAATTGGGTCTGCAAAAGAAGAGGCACCTCTTCACACTTGCCAATGTAATGTAACTGAGATGTGTGTAGACATATTGGTAACAATACTAAACGATTCTCTCAAGAAATTAATTTGAAATTTTATGAGTCTGTAATTGTTTATTATATTTTCCTGGTCATTGGTTTTCAGTTCTATATAGAAGAATTACCACTTATGAAACAATATAGAGTTTAATATAAATAATAAGTAAGTATGTTAAATTATCACAATTTATTATATTATAATAGTTAAGTACTAACTGAATGTTACAATTAAATTTTTAGGAAAAATCATCTATAATATCAGAATAATAATCTTTGACTTTAACGTGACTGCACCTGTCACCCTGAGACATAAGTTGACAAGTCCCGTGTTCCTGCAATTTCGCTGGCACCCTTCAAAACCGGAAAGCAGTAATGCTCACAAGGCTTTTAGCTCTACTGCTACTAAATTAGCTAGATATGCTAATGTAATGCCTAGTTTGGCACTATAAATAATTCAATCTTACAATGGATTTACTGAAATGTGTGATCTACAGTCCTTTAAGCATCTCCACTTCGAAAACCAGCTCCCGTTATCCCAATTGTCAAGATCGAGACACGTAGACATAAAAGAGACCCGTGGCCAACAGTGGGTCTTCATGGGTTCACAATTAAGTCATGCAATTCAAATACTTAAAATAACTTTTCTAGGACATTGGTATGATCATATTTTAAAATGATGGAAATATTATTTTCAATGCATAAAATGCCAAGGGTTACTGCCCTGTTCTGAATCAGTACAACCATCCCTTGCTAAAGTAATATATATAATAATGCCTAGGTACTTACATAAAATTACAAATAGCTTACTGCAATGCGGTTTTCCCGCATTATATACTAAATTTTTATGTAATAATTATATATTAGGAACAGAACATATTTCTAACTGGAATCTCATAAGTTCTTATTCATTATTGTAGGAAATGTATACAAAAATTGAATCGCCGAACATACGAAATAATGAAACATTGATAAATTAATATTACCTTTTCAAAGTAAAGATAAGTCCGTAATCTTTGACGATACGATAAAAGCACTTTGAATCACACGAAATTCTTTGTTTTTGTCACAATTTTAACAAAGGACTTTACTAAAGATATGAGGTCTTATAGTCAGCCGCCATATTGAATCAGCATTCGATTTGTTTTGACGGCGAAGTGACCTTTCGCATTTTTGCGTCCGTCTGGAATTATGCAACCAAATTTGGAAGGACGTTACAAACCAGCCGTCAAACGCGTATAGACAGCTTTTTCACTCGGTCGAATTATACGACCCGCCGGTATAAGGCGACCATGCAAAACGATGTCTAATTTTCGTATGTTTCTGAAGAAATATCGTTGCAATCTATTTTGTACGTTAAAATAAACAAATAACTTCCTTTTTAATTTCGTAAAATCAAATATTATCTTTATTTATTTAATAATAATAAATATCTAATTCTATTCTAATAAGCAAATTGGAAATCAAGTATGTTAACCTTTTTCTAGAAGACAGGAAATACTAAATTATTCAGATATTCAAACAAAGACAAACCTGGGAATAGTAACACATCTAGTATGACTGTTTTGCGTCGAAATCGCCTTCTCCAACTCTTCCAGTGCACCACTTCTCTTCAATTTCTTGACTAAACTCTTTACAGCCTTTTCGGACCACTTATCTTCAGCCAATGAAGATCCTTCAGGACCCTTTTTCCACCCCAAAAGCCTTTTTACAACGGGAGGCGTAAGCGGAAACATTCCGCCGCACTACACACTTTTAACTCATTTAATAGCAATTAACAATAATTAGAATAACAAATTAGAATTCACACTTTGTTCCGTATTTAGATAAACTACTATCGGCCATATTTTTGGAAATGAATGAACAAGGTTCAATGACAACTCTTGTCAATCAGTAATATGTTTCATCTCATTCTGACTAGCGGGAAATTTGAATAAATTCATTGATTTTATGGCGTTTTAAAAAGGATCCGTTAAAACTTTCTAAAAGAAACATGTATTTTAAAAAGTTGTACAACTTTTATAAGTTTTGAATTTAATCTAATCAACCTAAATAATTCAATTCAATGATTTTGACATATTTTCTATCTCTTTCTAACCAATTTACTCATCTGCAACCAAAGACAAATTTTCAGCCAGTGCTCGATAGTGATGTACTTGCTGCTGTATCGTATCCTTTCCAGAAATAAATCGATTCTCCTAAAGCTTTTATCATCATCATCATCTCAGTCCGTTAATACCCACTGCTGGGTATAGGTCTCCTTTTTTTGCACGTCAGCTCAATCGGTCCTGTATGAGTCTCATCCACAATCTTCCTTCCACCCCGACGATATCGTTCGACCATCTAGCAGATGGTGTGCCTCGAGGACGTCTCGCTTCTACCGGGTACCACTCAGTGACGGCCTTGGTTCATCGATCGTCATCCCCTATTGCAACGTATCCTGCCCGTCTCCATTTTAGGCTCGCGATCCGTACACCGACACGTCTACGGCTTTTGTTTGCTATCGGATCTCCACGTTGGGTGTACCATTTTTATGCGTTAATTAAGTTCTGATTAAATTAACACTTATAGTAGTAGTACCCGCCACGTGTTCTAGAGACACACGGTGCTCCTAACGATTCAGGTTTTTTTTATTGTTTTATATATATATCTTTATAATTTTTTAAATGTTGGATGAAAAGACAACTGCGTGTTAGAGACACCGGGTGGCTTTAGGACATCTTAAATTCACGGACGCCGTTGACAGGTTAAATTCATGTCATTTAAGTGTCTACTCCAAAACTTTATCACATTTTGGGCAATAGTTTGACAGATACATAAGTAAGTTCTTTACTATTGATTACACTCAGTATCGAAGCCAACTCGATTTTTGTTATTCAGTCGCAACCCTACCGGAAATGCAAATATATGAATTCCATTGTAAGATGTACATTGTGAGCCTTAACATTAATAACGTTTTGATACGTGAAACAAAAGCAGCAATGTACAACATAAATTTTGTCAAATGAACGTCAATATTTGTCAAAACTTCTATTGTCTACAGGAAAATGGAATATTTCAATTTCAAACTGACAAGTTGGAAGAAAATTCGTTCTCATTTGTTTTCTCGCGGTTGATGTGCCAGTTGTTCAAGGGATTTGTGCAATATCTCGCTGAATATCGTGATTTAGTAAGTTTCTACCATTTATCTGTGGCAAATATGATTTGTATGGTAATTTTGAATGGTCAATTGTGTGAAATGTGGCTTCGATCGAAGTAATGTTACTGGCCGTTGTTTTATTTCGTATATAGTGGCCAGTAAGTGACAGGCCACAATGGCTTGGCTGGAAATCTTCGAATGAATACAAAGATGAATAAAATAGTTTTTTCCATCAACTTTCAACTACTTTGGGAAAACTTTCTCGAACTTCCATTTCTTTTCGTAACTCACTTAAAAAATCGTGAAAAGTTCACGAATTTTTAACGTTATAGATTATTTTGACAATTTTAATGCAACTTAATTAACATTTCTTCGAAGTTTTCCCGATGTTCCTTACATAGTAATAAACTTTACCGCTTTCCTAATGTTAATGTAGTTATTATCATTTAATTAACCTATCTCTGTATTTGGCACCATATCTAGGTAGGTGCTTATTTAATGTTAGTGTTATGCAGTACCAACTAGATTTTTGTGCACCTAGAAATGTTAATTGCCTTAACTACAATATTGATGCCCTAGGTATGGGAAAGTGTTACACCCTGCCTGAAGCCTAGGTACGATATCTGCAGTGCGTTCATTAATTAATCTTTCAAAGTAATTTGAAATTTATTCCTTAGTTATCTATAACTTTAATGGTGAAGGACATTATGATAAAACCTGCAAACTCCTCAAATGGATATTCAGTCCTCAAGCCACATCGATGTGGGACTGACAGCAAGTGGCATAAATCAGCATCCGTGCAACTACAATGCTACACTTCCGCTCTTTTGATATGACTAAATAAAACATTAAATAATTATCTCTAAGTACAGCTCTGTGTAGCACAGTTTAGAAAACAAACTAAATAGAAAAACAAAACAAAGGTGTACTGTCTCTACACTGTCGCTTTTATATATTGCATTGTAAAATAAACTTTTTAGGACATGACTTATGGCTCACTATTAAATGTTTTTTTTTATTAACAGTTTTGGCAATTTTGGATATAAGTGCTTTGAGCCATGTCTTCGTTCATTTACCAGGATACTCTGTAATATTTTCCATTGTAGTTCTAATTGTAATTCATTATATTTTCACTTTCTCTTAAATAATTAAGTTCACATATTTAGGTTTTTTAAATAGTCTTTTAAGCGGCGGGAGTCAATATTTGTTTTACTTTCACTTAAAACGCATTATCTTCTGGCACTTTGAACAAAAACGTTGAGTTCGTAATTAGTGGAAGTTTCAGGCTAAAGTCCTTTGTAATTTGGTTTAAAATAAGGAATATAGTTCTAACTTTCTTCACCACTATTTCTTTCTTCGTTTTTTTCTTCATAATATACTTACTTAAAATACAAAAATAATCTTTGTAAAAACTGTACTCGTAACTTCAAAAACCCGCCATTTTCACCTCCTATTAAATGTTTTGACCGAAGTGGAGCCGAGTGATATAGACAAGCAGCAAAAATCCATAGACAAAACTTAATGGTACAAAATTACCCTTATGGTTAGCTACTCAGGTTCTACTTTTTTTTTTAATACCAAGTGATGGGTCGACCACGTTGTGTGCCTCGAAGTAAGCGATACATCGATCCATAGCAGTTGCAGTGTAACTTATAACTTTCGCAAAGATTGTAGGGACACTGCCACTGCTACCACAGCCCTAGATACAAGTTGACAAATCTTATGTGCCTGTAATTTTACCAACACCCTTACCCTTCAAAACCGGATCACAGTAATGTTTACATTATTTCTTGATGGCAGAAATAGTTACTAGTAGTACTTCCCTGGACGAACTCTTTCACAAGGAGCTCTAGTTCTTCTAATACACTTGCTCAGATCTTTATGCTTCATCTTGATCATCCTGTTCAATATCACTCTTTATGTGGAGGCTGGCTGTGTTGGTATTACATAAGTAGCCAACCTAACAATTATTACCATTACCAATTATTACAATTATTACCATACTTGGTACTTTGCAACGGGCTGGTATCCGCAACTCGACGACAAAGCGCCTATTTTGCGTGTGGTGGGTGTACTAAATTTATCTTTCTGGTAATCAAACCTTTCTTCTCATTGCCTTAACTGCAGAACCAGCAAGGTTGTCGATATAAATAAATTATAACAAAAGTATATTTAATATATGATGGTATCTTTTTAAACTGGTTTTTATGTGTTTTAGAGCACTATAGCCTACGTTTACACTCTTTGTTGTCTCCACCTACATTATTCTTCATAATAGTAAATTACATACTGGATATATAGCTCTGTTGGGGTGATATAGCCAAATAAGGGTGCGTTCCCATTCTATCGTAACGGCAGATAGTCGTGCCGTTCAAGTGTCGTGGTTTGTATGTTTAAATGTATTTGTTCACACATAGAACAACACGATTAACTGTCGTTCACGACTTTTTTGACGTAACGACGACGGACTGTCGTGACAATGGGAAGTCGAGCTAGAACGACAGTCGTCAGATGATAAATAAAACATCACGATAAAAATGTAACGACAGATAATTGCAGCTTCAAACAATTCTGTCGTGCGAACAATGAGGCCCCGGCCCCACTACTAAGGCGAGTGCGATATCTTGAAAAAAACTCATATAAACATGTCGGTGGCCGCACTGCAGCAACGACAAGCGAAATTTATTTGTTCATATCGCAAATAAATTTCAAATGTTCTACAAGTAATGAGGGTGTCCGCATTAAATAAAATTATTAAGCGGTTCGCGACGACACTTGAATTTCGTACGACAAGCAGCGGTGCGACGGCGATATGTCGCGATATGCGGTGATGTACTTGAGCGACCGCACTGCCTCGCGTTCGTGCGAAAGAGCGCGCTATATTCGAGCGAAGAGTTGCGAAGGAGACACCTCACCTCTTTCCACAACACATACGTGACTCTTCGTCGCGTGCGGCGTCAGTGCGGCCGCCACTGTACGCCTGACCATCGCCTGTGCGGCCACCCATTAAGTGACGTAACGGCGTTTTGCTGGCTTCTCGCTTTTGCAATGCCACCTATTTTTTCGCGTCGCCGCCGCGTCGCTGTCGCCGTACCAGTGCGGCCCCGGCCTAAGACCGATAATTGTCGTTACGTTCTAGTAGGAACAGCTAGACACGACAGTCGTTCAACGATAAAATAAACGTCAACGACAGGTAGTCGTAATATGGGAACAGGCAAGCCGCGACAGTCGTTTAACGATAAATAAAACGTTACGACGTAATGGGAACTCGGCCTTAGAAAAACTTTTAAATTCTTGATCCTAATTTGAGTTACATAGTGTTTTCTTCTTAATTGTCTGCAGAATTAAACTCTAAACTTAAGTTCAATACTTAAGGCCTTTAAAGATGGCGGAGAACCATCCTCCATTGATATTATGCATGGAGAACGCGACAGGCGAAGAAGTGGCTTTGCGGATTGAGCCCGGTGATGATTTCCGAACGTTTCTTCATAAGGCAAAGTAAGTAAGACTTTCCAAAAAACTTTTTATGTTAAGTGATGGATAAACAAGTCGTGCGCCATATAACAGCTGCAGTGCCACTCAGAGCTTTAAATCGCAAAGATCTGAGGTGCGCTGCCACTGCGCCCATCATCCTGAGACATAAGTTGACAAGTCCCATGTGCCTGTAATTTCACCAGCACCTCAAAACCGGAACGCTATGA